GAGGAAGCTTCAACAACAACAGATGATTATGCACGTGACTCAACCTTGCTTACTGATAGTGAGGAGGACTTGAAATGCTTGCTGCAAAAGATGAAAGACTGCAGCCTGCAATATGGATTGCATCTCAACATCAAGAAAAAAAAATCCTCACCCAGTGGTGGGTTGATAGCAACGTCATGTTAGATGGAGATTGAAAAAGATTAAAACTGTTAATAATTTCATTTTACTTTCATCCGCAATCAACATCCTTGGTACCAGCAGTCAGGAAGGAGATCAGGAGACATACTGCATTGGGCAAGTCTGTTTTCAGATACCTCTCCAGATTACTGGGGAACAATGATGTTAGTTTAAAGATTGAGGTGCTTCTAATCCAGACCATGGAGTTTTCAGTCACTTGCTGTGCATCTGAAAGCTGAACAGTGAATAAAAATGACAGAAGAATTGATGCCTTTGAGCTGTGGTGTTGGAGAAGAGTGCTGAATAGCCCATGGACTGTCAAAATAAAAGTGCAGCCAAAGTGCTTCTTGGAGGTAAGCATAGTGAACTTTTGTCAAACAGTTTGTTCTATCTACTAGAATTTTTGGAGTCTTTCTTTTGCATTAAAATGTGTTTTAAGTTCCCATGTGACCGCTAATTAAAAACTTTTAAAACTTCATTTTTTAATAAGATTTGTGAAGTTACGGGGGAGCTAATAATATTGAACAAGGTTTCGCTCTTTCATTGACATATGCTTTTTGATTCTGGAACTGATCATGAATGAACTGCATCTATTCAAAAGAAGTTAACTCTTTCCAGAACTAGAATCTTTAAAGGACATTGTAGCATTCAGATCTAAACTAAAGCACAGTCACTTTTAAGATGAGACTTGATGTGAATGAAAAGCTCCTTTTAAAAAAGAAGCACTTCTAAGAGATTTCTAGGGTTTTCTTTCACAGTAAATCTTTTGATTGTGGAATTGATAGAAGACATTATATGTCTATCAGGAATGAATGATTCTGATGGTGGAACACTGACTATGGGTGAAGGGTTGTTGGAATGTTAGAGAAGAACAAGTTGGCAGTGTTTTATCCCAAACCAGTCAATTAACAAGTAATATGCAAATAATTCATCCATTGGGAAGAAGGACATGTTTTAAATAGAATATTTAATAGATTTCAGGGATATAGTTTAGCAGTTAGGTGGATTACAAAAGGGAGCAGTGCTAATGTAGTCCATGGAGCATTGCGTTGTTAACCCAAAGGCTTTGTCTCTCTGGGGGTTTGAATCCACCAGTGACTCCACAGGAGAAAGACGGACATTCTGCTCCCATGCCAGCTTTGGAAACACCATGGAGGGTCAGCTATGAGTTGTTTCTAATCCAATGACAATAAGTGAGAACAGGTGTATGAAAATAGATTATTTTATCGTGTGGTCCTTTTGATTAAATTACCTCTATATTATAAATCAGTCATTCTCAGGTGAGGGAGGAAGGTGGGCACTCTTCCACTTACGAGCTACTTTGGAAATTTGTGGGTAAGTGAGAAATGTTTTTCATAATGTTTTTAACAAAAACATAAATGAGGTCGCGGGAGGGGAATCTCATAAATGGTTATTGTACACATGGAGCTCACTGGATAGAATGCACAGTAATCAAATCATCTAATCTATGAAAAGATATGGGGAGAAACTCATTGTCAGCAGGGAGAAGAATGGCAAGAGTTATGTTGCTAACTGGCAACTTCAAATTGAAGTTGAGGAAAGTGGAAACAAGGCTATAAGAGCCTAAATACCACCCTGAGTACATCTCGTTGAATTTAGAAACCTTTCAAGAGTGTATTGATGAATTGAATACTAATGGTTGAAGATCAGATGAGTTGTGGGATGACATCACAGATGTAATCCACGAAGAGAGTAAGTTTCTGCAACCTGATGACTTGCTATGGAGTGGACTTTGCTTGTGGATGAGGATGCTCAAGCTTTCTAAACAGAACAAAAGATGGGTCAGCCCAGGGACGTACTTGTTTCTGCAGAGTACTGGCTATCTAAAATGGGATATTAAGGGATAAGGCATGAAGTAGATGGCTTACATGCTTTCACAAATGTAGTTATTAGTAAGATGATTGTAAAGTAAAAAATCCCATGCAATATACATGAACAAAATACAATATAAATGAAAGGTTATATTAAACACAATATATAGGCATGAAATAGAATGTATGTAAATGATCGTATTCAAACCAATAAAAAATATATGTAATAAAACATATTTTAAAGAGGTCATTACAAAGAGGAGAAAGGAAAACAAAAACCCACACAAAAAATCAGATGTCAGAAAAGACTATGAAAATTGTCCTAGAGAGCTGAAAAGCCCAAAATAAAGGTGAGAAATACTGAAGTGAAAGAGATGAACAGAATATTTCAAAGGCAACTTGAGAAGATAAAGTATTATAACAAAATGTGCAGAGAGCTGACATTGAGAATGAAATGGGAAGAAATTGCTCAGCAGTTCTCAACCCGAAAGAATTGGAAAACAAACTCAACCCTCAAGTTGCAATACTGAGAGATGCAGTGGGCAAAACCATGGATGATCTATGAAATATCAAAAGTACAGGGAATATATAGAATAAAAAGAATTTGTCAGCACTGAAGAATTTCAGGACGTACCATATAAACAAGAACCAGTGGTAATGAAGGAAGAGTTAAAGCTTCACTGAAGGTGTTGGTCAAAAGAAGACCCCAGGAATTGAGGGGCATTCATCAGTAACAACTGATGTAGTAACAACTGATGTAGTTTGTTACTTCCCTAATAAACATCAAAACTTTGAGTATTATCTGAGTTCTTTGTGGCCATTTTACTTAAAATACCCACTAGCAGAGAGTTGAGAGTTTTGAGAGGGATAGTGGGATTTAGAATTTTCTTGTAGGAAGATGTTGTGTATAGGAAACATGTCTGAACTCATAGGAATTGAGTTTGATCTGTCGATGTTGGTAAGGATTCACTCCCTCAGCTGCCGAGTGAATGGAAGTCAGACTCTGCCTCCCCACCCCCTGCAACACTGCTTTTACAACATCATATGTTGCAGGCTGAGAGTAAAGTATTTTTATAATTATTAATAATGAGACAGACTACCAGGAATGAGATAGAATAGAGAGCATAAAAAACAGGGGGCCAACAGTTCCCATGCCTCTCTGGATATTTATTGAGAATCATAAGTAAGCTAAACAAAGTAAAATCATAAGGAAGTACCAAACAAAACCAAGGATAATGGTGAAGTCTTTTGCAGATAAGGCCAAGTTCCTCTTTATGCTTATCTCAGGAGGGAGGGATTCAGTTAATACAAACTAAGAACAATGTTGGCTCTTAGGGAACACCTTAGTGCCACAAGGTGATCTTCAGTTTGTATTAAACCTGCCTCATATCCTGATACAGCATTTGGTTTATTATTAATATTAAATTTGATAATAAGATTCCCACAATCATATGTGCAGAAAGCAAGATGTTAAAAAGACAGGAAGAGAAGAAAGACCAAAATGTGTATCAGAATAGACTATCAAATTTACTTTAGAATGTAGAAAGCTAAACCAGATCTAAGAAGTGGTGAAGTAAGAAGATTCGAATGGTCAGCTTGAGAATGCAGGAAAGTTGTAATGAAATGTGGAAATAATTAGAATTAGAAAATGAAAAAGAAGAATATGCTCGGCATTTCTCAAATTGAAAGAATAGAAGGGAAAAAAATTTAGGCTTCAATAGGCAAGAGTGAAGAATTATTTAGGCAAGATACTGAGTGCCACAGGACATATCAAAAGAAGATAGAATACATAGGGTATTCCTGTGTATGCTAAAAAGAATTTACATCCACCCATTTAAGCAGGCAATATGATCAAGAACCAGGGAGGGATTCTTTTATTAAGAACAGGGGATTCTGAAGGAAGAAGTCACCGCTGTACTGAAAGCATTGGTAAAAACAAGGCTCCAGGTATTGATAGAATACAAATTGAGATGTTTCAGTAAACAGACACAATAGACTCAAGTGTAGCATTGATTATGAGGATGGTGCAGGATTGGGAAGTATTTAGTTTTGTTGTACATCGGTTTGCTATTGGGTATTACTTGATAATACCCAAGAATAACAAGTACCTAACTATTCCTTCATTCTTTTCAGAGTCAGCCATAGTTTGTTATGATCCACACAGTCAAATGCCTTTGCATAGTCAATGAAACACAGATAGACATTCCTCTGGTATTCTCTGCTTTCA